TTTTGGAGAATGTTTCTGTTGCTCTTGTGCCCTCTACACAGCTACAACCCATATATTCACTTACATATTTTGAAGGTTGATGAATTTCTGAGAGTCTGCGATCATATCTGGGATGGTTCCTCGTACAGGTAGGCTTCCACTGCCTTCACTGTGAACAAACTCCTTGACAGCTCGCAACAGCACCCAGAAGGACAGGGTCTGGTAAACATGCACCAACAGAATACACCCACCGGTTTAAGAAAAGGCAAATATAATTTCAAAAACTACTTATTTTATGCTATGATATAACCATGTAGGTATTTTTTAATAGAATGGAACCTTTGATGTGATGTTGTTACACTGCTCACTATTGAAGAGGTCTTCAACAGCACTAGGAACCTGCAGAGACAAGAGACGTTACTAGGCGAGACTCGTGGTAATTGTGATACTACTTCAAACCGAGTCGGGTTTTACAAGTGGGATATATTGCATGGAACATAAGATAACGCTTAAAAACATTGTAGTATTTGAGGTCTGGCACCTTGGTTGGATTTAAAGCAGTATTGACATTCTTAATAGCTTCCTCAAAGTTTTCTTCATCCTCTGGGACACCATTTTCATTCTTCAGGATTCCTGATGGGACAATAAAATCAAAATCAAATCACAGATAAGTTTGAGTTGCACAGTCAAGTCACAGAATTTATAGGCAACTACAATCCAGAGATACCTTCCCGAATAAACTGTCTGAAGGCCTCTTTCTCCTTGTAATTTTTTGGAGGCTGACCGTTGTGCTACAAGGACAAAACCAGAGTGACATCACACTTTAGCACACTCAAGAATACATGTCAGTGATCAGACACTGGGGAGGCCTCAGAAAATGAACTGTACCTCACTGAGCCATTTCTCCAGGTATTTAGCAACAACGATAATCCAGGGTGTGTGACTATGATCCTACAGATTAAATGAAAAAAAGGCAAAGGAGTACAATCAGTTGTGTAAAGCTGGTATGGTTTAAACTGACTAATGTGCATACACAAATGTGTCAAAGTACACACCTTCTTCTCCATGCTGTCAAGGTCGTAGGACTGAATGTGGCTCTTGAATTCGGCGAAAGGCTGGTCTAACCTCAGGTCCTCCAGGGCATTGTCTGGATGAGATTCAATTACTGAAGAGAGAGGTGGTACAATGTCAATGTAAAGTAAATAAATTTCAAATTATACAAATAAACTGAAATCGCCACATCAAAAAAAATACTAAATACTAATGAAAGCATTTCACACAAAATTTGTTATTTAATGTATTAATTAGTGTCAAAATAACAAAGAATCAAAGTTAAACTAACCTGTATGCTCCTCCACCACAAGTCTCATGTAGCCGATCAGGCCGTAGGTTTTACAGACTAGGAAAGGTACAGAGGCACTCCACAGAACTGAGCCTAGCCTCAAACATGTGCTAATGAATTTTAGAGAAATTGACATGTTAAATGGGCAGAAAATAAAACAACAGCTAATCAGTCCAATTAAATAACTGCTTCTACAATAGCTGTAAACAATTTCTATACATTTGAAAAGATATAATTCTCTTTGCCAATTCCAATAACTGAAGAGAAACATGCTTTGTAATCTTTACAGTAATAATCTGAATCAGAGCCACCAAATGAAATTAAAACACATGGAAGGCTCTTGCACTAGCAGTAGGTGTATTCAAATGTTTCTCAAACAGTAACAAGTTGTTTTATTTTGAATCCAGTAAAGCCAAAATGCTAAAGTCTCCATCCATGATGGACTACACAAAGTTTAGATATTTCTAAGAAACAAAATACTCTTTCGGCATTCTGCTTTCTTTATAATTTCTAATTAACTATTTTATAACAATTAAAATGAGAGAGTAAAGATGAACTACATCTCATACCTTTCTGGCAATTGAACACCAATGACTATGGTAAACCTGTGGAAAAACTCTGGATCATTGTCCAGAAGCTTGTCTGGACTCTGCAGGAGTAACAGAAAATACAAGAGGGCTCTCTGTCATTATCAGAGTGATGATACTGATCAACACATTTACATATTTACACAGCACGTGTTGTAAAGACTTTCATGTAAAGAAATTGTAACATTTTTTACCTGGTCTAAATACTTTTATTTAACACTAGGGCTCATGTCTCTTTAGCCTGATAAAGCATTTTTCTGATTTTTTTATGTGTTTGTAGTGTGATACTACTGGAACAGTATGATTGTGGCACCATGCCAAAACCAAATACCAGTACCAACCTCCTCAACAAAGTTTCCAGAGACATCACTGTTAAGTTCTTGTAGGAGCTCAGTAGCAGCCTGTGCTCTATTCTGCAGCAAAAACGAAAAGTCAGGGCGCAAAATTAAATAAAAATTTACTTCATGAAAACCATATAAGAAATTGTGTGTCTGTCTGCACTTGTGAAAGAGAAATGTGTATGACATAGATCGTTTTTTTAGGTAAGGCATACCTTTCCAATGCTGTTGTTGCTCAGAAAAAAGCTGCAAGACAAGATCAACAATAAACAAACAAGTAAAACTAACACATTATGTTGAGCTTGGACCAACACAACAACTGCTATCTTACTTGTTTCCAACATCTTCTCCAGAAACTATGTGTCCGTCAACTATGGTGAATGCTCCAATACCTGACAAAAAGATAAATTAATTCAATCAGAAAGATGCTTTAATCAGCACCTGCAGTACAAACACAGAGCCACACCTGTTTACCTGGAAGTACTAGGTTCTTCAGTATCTCTGTTCCAGTTGCTGTGGCGTTGATGAGACAAACATGTGCATTCTCCAGTGCTTCTTGACCATGGTCACCCCACAGTCTGAAAGCACACAACATAAAATGGACATGCGTTGCCATCTAGTGATACAATTCATCCTCAGCCACAACAACGCACTTAGCAATAATGAATTGGCTAGTGGTATGACAGCTTCAATAACACCGACTGCCTTTTATTGTTACACTTGTTTTACCTTAAAACGCATCATAAATTTGACAGGCAAAATAATCAGAGCAACCCAACACATTATAACAGTATACTAGCTAATTTGTGTGTTCGCTCGTACATGGTGTTTTAACTGTAACGCAGATATCAAGCTAACGCTAGCTAACGTTGGCACTCCCGCCTCAATGTTTCTGCTGTGACCGAGCAGATTAAATGCATATAACATTTAGCTAAAGGGATGTGTTATTTTACGATCGATGTGATACATTTACCTGAGTTGCCTGTCGTATTTCTGTTCCTTGGAGGGTTTAGTAGCTGCCATGGTAGCTTTCGAATGATTGACGTCCTTCTTCTTCAGATTTTACGGCGGTTGGCATCCACGATGTTGCATTGCTGCCACCTCCTGGTTTCACTCTTCTTCTTCTTCTTCTTCTTCTTCTTCTTCTTCTTCAGACTAGGCACTGCTTAGTGCATTGCTGCCTCCCACCGGTGCAGTATCGCCATTGCAGATTTAATCATCTGAGAGTGATTATAAAAAGTTTATTTTTTGGAGCACCCCATCACCCATCAATGTTCTGATAGACAATATTTCCATTCCCAGTTTGTGCAATTCTACAAATGATCCAGTGTCCACCCAGAGTATCCCCATTCACCACATTGGCCATTCTACCCAATTGCCTGAGTTGGTGCAAATCCTTCCCTCAGCATAATGTCTTCTCCTGATATGTCCACAAAGTCCAAGACCAACAATATATATATATATATATATATATATATATATATATAGAGAGAGAGAGAGAGAGAGAGAGAGAGAGAGGCTATAATATATATGTAGATATGTTTCAGCTCGACCAGACTGGTTTATCAACTTCACAGTGCATTTCTTGCACAGGATAAACCTAAGTCCTAATAAAATTGGACAAATCCATCCTTCCAGTGTTGAAAAACAGCTATTTAAAAACTATAAACATATGAAATAACATATTTAAAACAGCTCAAAAGAAATGAAGAACAACATTTTCAAAGCCGACCTTGTTCCAGATATGCTCAACATGTTATTTAAGGAAAGGATTAAGGATAACACATGCAGCTGGAACTTGTATCATTTTTGTCATTTTTCTCTCTAAATCCATGTTCGGCTATATTTTGTATATTTTGTCCTTCTCTGCTAATTATGTCTATAAAGATTCTCAGTCATCCAGGTCATAGTTATCCAACGAAGGTTAAAATCAAGAGCAACTGGACTTGGTTGAAGATACTGGAAGACGTTTCGTCCCTCATCCAAAGGACTTCTTCAGTTCTGACTGACTGGCAGGGAAACTCAGCTATTTAACCTCAGTGGGGTCGTTGGCCCGGGTCATCGATACTGCTGGTTCGTTAGTGTTCCTGGTTGCTGTGACGACAGTCGTTACAGTCGTTAAGACTACCTGTGGCCAAGACTGAACGACCATCGTTGGTATCTTCACCTGAGGTCAATAGGTCACGTTTGTTGAGTTTCCTGGGAAGTGATGAAAGGACAGCATTGTAAGTGGGGGATAAGTGGTGGCGTAGACCCCCTCCCCTGTTCAATGACGGCTTCTCGACCCTGGTGTAGATGGCTTCCTTGACACCTCTTTCAAACCATCCATCTTCTCTGTCTAAAATGTGCACCTGGTGGTCCTCAAACGAGTGTCCTCTGTCCTTCAGATGTAAGTAGACTGCAGAGTCTTAACCTGAGGAGTTCTCAGCTAATTAGCAGAGAAGGACACTTCATTAAACACTAATCATAATTGTCTAAAATTACATAGCCTACAATTCATTATCATTATAGTGTATAAAATATATTAGGTAGCCTAACCTATTGTAATTTAAACGCATTATAATCATATTTTGCTGAAATAGTTTAATCCGAAGAGGACTGGCCTAATGCAGTAACATTAGACAAGCTTAGCAAACCTCAGACAGGTGGACCGTGTGTGTGGGCGGGAAGGGGCGTGTTAAGAAAAGGATTAATTGCCCTTCCCCTTTGGCGACTAAGCCTACATAAACTTCATCTATAGCTACAACGGCTGATGTCCGTGGCGGTCCTGCACGTGCGCGCCGCAGTGTAGGAGTCAAATACCGACAGCTTGGTCAGACCTGAAACAACAAACAGGGGCAATGGCAGGGAATCACTGGGGATATGGAAAAGAGGACGGTAAGATCTGACACCATCCAAGCTCCAGGCTGAATCTTTGCAGCTTTCCAATCTGTAGCGGAAGTTATTAACGCTCAATTGTAAAATAAACGTTTATTTGTTTTTGTTGGGGGCATTGCGTGTTTCAACCAATGGGAGTAACGAAGAGGAGGAATAACGCTGTTAATGCCAGATTAGCCACATGCTTTAAGGGGTGACTGCTGTCACCTTAATTTGACTTTCCACTAGGTTTGCACGGTGCTCTTGAGTGACAAACTGCGTTGCATCAGCGTCTTGGCAAATATGTTTACTGTGCTGCGTTGTTTGGAGTGGATGAGAGAGTTTTGAGTGAATTTCACTGATTATATTTTTGATCATAGGAGGCTTAATTGATGGTACCACATCTTCATTGTTGCTTGGGAAAACAGACCTTGATCAGTTATCGGTTTACAGTTGTTATAACTAAATTAGCTGTGTTAAATAAAAAACTAAAGCTTTAATGTTTGACTATGCTTTAGAAAATATTCAATATTTTCCTTTGCAGGTGACCCAGTGAAATCAGTTTTGTTAAAGATAGATTTCATCATCACTCCATAAATTGGAGCTGAAGATATAAGTGATGGGTGTAATGAAGCCTTCATTTTCTTTTTTTTCTCATGGTCTTCTTGGTAAGGTCCTTCTGTATGGCACAAAAACTACCCCGTTGCTCAGGGTAACCGGCAGTCTCCCATCGACATAGTCCCTCATCAGGCTTCTTATGATCCCAGTCTGGGCCCGATTGTCCTAAACTACGATCAATGTACCTCCATCAACATCGCCAACAATGGACATTCTGTTGTTGTTGAGTTTGATGACTCGGATGGCCGCTCAGGTGAGGAAAAACTGATTTAATTCAGATTCTTCAGTTGAAGTTGAGACCTTTTTTTTTTTTTTAATTGAAAGCCAAAATCACACCTTGATGGGGCTATTTGCATTGATATGACATGATCTATGACTGTAGGCTATTACAAGATTATTGAATACCTTGCAATGAATGACCGAGGCAATCATAGCTCTGATATTGAATTTATTGAAGGATAGCCCCTTGAGATGCAGAATCTCATTTTCAAGGGGGTCCTAGAACACAAATACATAATGAACAAATACAAAACAGAACATTACAAAACTACATATGGTACACATACAGATAACTCGCACACCCACTCTCACCCACACCCAATACCCTCCGTCAATACAAGGAAAAATAACAAGTTAAAACAATCCTATAACTTCAATTATACCAATAGACAATCAACTAACATTCAACCCCAAAACAAATCAAATTATTACTTACTCCGTGTGTGTGTGTGTGTGTGTGTATATATAATATAACAAACCAACGTAGTGATACCTGATAGCATTAATAACATGAACATCCTGTAGCCAAAGACGACAAGAAGCAGCAAAAAGTGCTGCTAGATCTTAGGGTAGGATGAAGATTATATATTGAAATGATTTCTGTCCAGAGAGAGGGGGGGAGAGAGAGAGAGAGAGAGAGAGAGAGAGAAAAAAAAAAATATATATATATATATATATGCATGCATGCGCGCATTGGAAATCAGCGCTAAAACTTTACTTTCAGTAAACATACGCTTCAAAGGTGGGACTACGTTGATATTTCAGAAACTGCAAACCATGTGCATAACCAACCATAATCAAAGGTTACAAATAAACAGCTGATTATGCTGTAGGGATAGTGCAGCCAGCAGTTAACTGTATGAGTGTCTGTCTGCTGGACAAGAGATATAATAACCTTAGGTGATCTCATTGGTTATTATGACCCTATTTGCTTTTATCACTGGGTGGATCCATGTTAAACACCCTATCATTACCATGAATGAGAACCTCAGAAATGTGGGGCTGTTTGGCTCAGACAATTTCCACAGACCAAGCTGTCACTGAAAAATTATTCAAAGAGGAGACCATTAGGAAAGCTAACGCACTTCCTCTGCAGTTCCCTATAGATCAAATAAGGTGCACAAATCCCCTAAACCTACTGCTGTCAGTTTGCCATGTGTGGCTTAGTCTGGGTGTACACATGCATATTCTCACACAACGTATTCTGTGTCACTGTTGTTATGGCAAACAAAAAAGAGGATAGAATAAAATTAAACTTTCTATTAAGACCGATGCACACGAGTAATTCAAACTGATAGCATTACATAATATTACAATAGCAAATCAAAGATCTCTGTATGTTAGAATAACAAACATGATAGAGTTAAGACCAGTTTAATTAATTGGAATTAATTAATGCATTTCTGGTCAAGATTTACAACATTAGCATTATCTTTACCTGATTCATCACATCAGTTATTTATATACATTGTTTATCTACTGAGCACATCATTGCTAATTATGTCAAAATAATTCTACTTTAAACTTTAATTATACTATAACCTATAACAGATTTTATCTTAACAGATCACATTGTTTTTGTGGTTATCCTACATCTATAATGGATTGTATTGCCCTTTGCTTTGTTTGCCATTCGTGCCTAGCTAATCTGACCTGGACTAGAGTGGCCTGTTTGTCAGAAGGATGTCAGCAGCATCACAATGAATAACAATCAGATTAGAGTGCCATCCATACCCAGCAGTGCAAGCCATCGGTTCTGAAAACAGTCTGTACTGTCCTGAGAATGGGCGGAATGTCTTTATGACATACATTAAAACTTCTATTAACCCTTGTTGGTTTAACTTTCCATTCTGGTGTGGACCTGAATGGAACGTTAAACCAACCTAAAAGTACCTTAACTTTGATTTTATTTGGCATAGGATTGGCTATTTGTGTCTGACTAAAGCTTGTGCCACAGATCTCTGATAGATTTGTTGGTAAAGCAGGCTGTTTGTCTGTTAGTGTTAATGTCTCAGCTTTGATTGCTCTGTGCAAAAAGCAGTTTGTCTGACACAGAGAGAGAGAGAGAGTGTGGGTGTGTGCATGTGTGTGACTGCTGAACATTTCTTTTTTAAACATCTCTCATCCTCTTCAGTGATCCAGGGAGGCCCACTTGACAATCCCTACAGACTGAAACAGTTTCACTTCCATTGGGGGGGGAAGGGCTGCCATGGGTCTGAGCATACTGTTGCAGGAAATGGCTATGCATCTGAGGTCAGTTTTTGGGATTTCAATACTTGCACCACAGTGTGTCAGTATCTAATTAAGCAAACACGGACAACGTATTTAGCTATGTAATAAAATCAAAGTATGGCTTTGATACTAAAAAAAAAATATAGCCATTTTACATCTGTGTATATGACTATTGGATGTAAACTTTCTTTTTAGACCAGTGTAAAATGTATGCATGCCCCAATAATATTCTTGTAGATACGGTATTTGAGCAACATGCGTATGTCATTCCTACTTTCAATCCTACTTTGAAAAGATAACATGTATTATATGGCTAAGAACAGGATGTTAATTTATTTAAATATAAAAGTCAGTCTTATTCTGTTTCTGTCTTTCCTCCTCTTGCCACCTCTAGCTTCATCTAGTCCACTGGAATGCTATCAAGTACAAGACATTTGGGGAGGCAGCAACAGCTCCTGATGGCCTTGCTGTCCTTGGAATTTTTTTAGAAGTAAGATGTTTCTGTTAGAAGTGGGAGGTTTCTATACCTGTGCCCCTGTTTCCTCTCCATCCTGTATTACTGCAACAATTCAGCAGTTTCTTTAGGTCTGCCATAAGTCATAGTAACTTGAAGCAAAGGCCGAATGATGTGGTGGAGTCAAGTCCAAAAAACAAGCAAATGGTCAAAGCACAGGTAATGCAGGTAGAAACAGGGACCCCCAAGACATAAGCGCACACAGCAACATAAGATAACTAACAATCTGGTAAGGAGTGAGTGGGAATGGTCCAGTTAAGCATCTGCAGGGCTACGGGGAAGTGGAAAGAGGTGAGAGAGTGGGTGGAGTAGGCCTGGGGCATGTTCGTTCTCAAAACATTTTGCACCAGTTTGCTACAGTTTCTGGATAGAACAACATGTTTCCTCGGCTTTGAGGTATGATTTCTCTCATTTGGTGGTTGTGTCACAGGTGTTACCCAATCAGCATCACATTGTTTTTAAATACAGCAATATTAAACAGGCAGTGAAGTGCAGTGTACTGTACACAGCAGGGTTTTCAAGGCACCACCGTTTCCTTTCAAATGAACGTTATGCTACGTTTTGTCGGCTGAACTTGGCCCAGGTAACTGCAGAGGAGATGGGGAAGTAAGAACAGGTGTGTAGTTGGGTGTTTCAGTCAAGTGATGGGAAAGTATGAGGGCATCTGGTGGATTAGCAGAGAATGGCAATAAGAGGGCCGAGGCAAGTGGCTGAAAAGAGGGGACATAAAGACAGACTTTGACAGTGCTTGTGACATCAGTAGTTGGAGTCCTAAGGCTTCAAACTGTTATAATAGTAAGTAGAAACATTACTGATTATTTATTTTTTTCATGAAAATAGTTTCTCTGTGGTAAATACTCAGCAATTGCTGTGTTGCGGTGATGTAATGTTTTTGTGTCCGCTTTAACAAAAATTAATGATTTGATATAGAGTCACTCCAAAATCACAAAACAAATTAAAAAAACAATCTTGTCTGTTACATAAGAGAGGTGATGACCACAGATGGCTCCACACGATAACAGATGCCCTGTACATGGTGAAGTTTAAGGTGAGTACTATTAGATTCTTCCATGTACTTTTTGTGTGTTCTGTTTATGACCTGCTCTCTGCATCATTGCAGTAATTATAAAAGCAGTTGTCTTTGCATTTCTGTGACAGGCTAGTGTCACAAATTTCAAAGGTTTCAACCCAAAGTGCCTCCTACCCAGCAGCCTCCACTATTGGACGTACCTGGGCTCACTGACCACACCCCCCCTGCATGAGAGCGTCAACTGGATCATCCTGAAGGAGCCTATTGTAGTTTCTGAAAAACAGGTGTGTGTGTCAAAGTCAAACATGTTCCCTTTGACCACAGTGATCTTGAAGCATTGAGGATTGTGGCTCTTAGTTTTTCAGTCCTCTGTAAAATAAAAAATAATATAAAATATAGTTTTACATTATAGTGATGCTCATCCTGCCTTATAAATGAGAAGGCTAGACTCAATATATATATTTGAATGATGGCTAAGAGCCCGCGACCCTGTACGCAGGATAAGCAGTTGACGATGGATGGATGGATGGCTAAGAGAAACGACATTTAAGTTTGTGTGTAAAATTCTGCGAGAAATCATTTACAACATATTTCTTATCGTAGACGGGGAGCGAGAAAGAGGTCTGTTCACTTAACAATTAGTTTCCCCCTTAGTATTGGTGTGGAAATTTTTACAATGAACCAGAATATACAGCACCAAAACTCTAATCTGTAGTAGTTATTTAATATTACAAACACATCGTTAACCCCAATCCAGCTATTTTGACTGCAAGTGGGCAGCTCCTCTAGCACAAGATCTATATTATCCTTTACTACGACTACATCTACCATTACTGCTTGAAAAGAGGCTATCACAGTATCAGAAGTACGCAAGTGAAATGTCATTCTTTGGCATACATGTTGTAGCTAATGATCTTCACCCATTTTCTCGAGAGCGATCTTTTCTCAGAATGGGCAGTTTTTAACACCCATGGTTCTGGCTTGCTATAATTAGTTAGGTGATTAGTTAGACTATTCTCCACTAGGCTCCAAGGATCCATTGTTTCATCACTGGATTAGTATACCAAGTTTGAGTGATTGTGGGGGTGGGTGGTGGTAGGATTTACATCTGTGCTGTAGCATATCCAGAAATGTACTGTTTGACCAAAGTGTGACACTATATTTAGAGGCCAGAACAATGGTAAGCATCATTCATGGGGAATGCCGTAAGGTTGTCTTGTTTTGATCCACCCCTCTTATGACTGAATTTAATGAAAGTGTAGGATAAACCCCAGTTGGTTGACAAGTTAAGCTGACTAACTGGATGTCTGCAGCACATGTCCTCTAGGTCCCCCTATGAGCTGGTCCTGTGGCGACTGCTGCCAGCCTCTGGATTATACTCTTACACTGTTGATCTTTTCTAGTCTAGTTTCCCATTTTTAACTCCAGGACTGCACATGAGGAATCAGAGTTTTAATGACTGCAGCACCTTGGGTGTAGTCATGAACAGCGTGTCTGTAAACCCATGTTTGTGGCATAGCCGGGACTGAGGTATAAGCTATAGGTGACTTCCCCCACAACCTATGACTCCAGACTTCAAGCTTTTGATCCCCTCCAGCTGATTATCCTGATGGATGGATGACTGGATGTTTTCAGGGCTTAAATTGAGAAATGTTTGCATGGAGACTCAGTGGGGGAAAGCCCTTACATAACAGGGTATTACTTTGTTTTTCATTTCCCCACATAATAGCAGACCTAGAGCTAAAGGGAAAATACCAAAAAAAGGGTGGTATAAGTTTTGGAAGTGGCATGAGTTAAGAGTAAGTAGTCAGTATTTTTCTTGTCAACAAATGTCATTTAAAGAACATAAAAATAATTAATGTTACTAAAAAGTGGTGTCTTTACCAAAGTGGGTGGTGGTGGTGTTTATTTATTTATTTTTTTTTTTTAAAGAGGAAAAATCGGTCTTTTTGTCTCTCCCAATGCAGCTGGGCAAGTTTAGAATGCTTCAGTTCAGTGGAGAGGAAGATGATCAGAGGATACGCATGGAAAACAACTTCAGGCCTCCCCAGCCTCTCAAAGGCAGGAAAGTGCGTTCCTCTAATTAATGTGACCTCAAGAGATCTGGAGTTATAGATAACAACTGTGAAAGCACTGATTTGAGTGTACTTCTTACCACATGGTAGCATTTCCTGAGGACTTTTGATTTACTTTGTACTGAGGGGGGGGGGTCCTTCTCACCACTGCCAGCATGTTGAGATGCATGTTTCCCTCTACTGGTCAGAAGCTTTTATTTATGGGTTGTTTGAATATTTTTGTAATGCATTAAAAGTCTTGCAATTTTTGCTGAATGAAATAAAATTCAAAATAATTTGTACAGTCTTTTTGTTTTTTTCCATTAGAAGGGGTCCAATGTTAAATTAAAAGAACTGGGCAGTCTTTCTGGACTTGATTTGGGATTTTCTAGCTTTGGCTTCTGCACTCAACCAAAGACTGCACATGTATACTGTTAGAGGGAGGAGTATAAGCAAACATTTACATTTATTAAATTCAGTTGTTCTCTTCTTATCAAAAAAGCATTGTTCACCTTCTTTTCTTAAAGTTGCTATAACTGAACCTTGTACCTGGTATGTACAATATGTTTTTGACCGAGAAGCCGTTCAAGCAAATGTTTAAACGCTCTCGTACTGATGAAAAGTAGCAATACTGCATTCAAGGTAATGAGTAGCCAGGTTGTAGCCTAGAGGGCTGAGGGACAGTGACAAGGAACATGGACTGCGATCGGTCAATTATTTACCAGCTATGTTCATGGAACAAGTTTTATCTGGCCCTTAAATTCAGCATGGTAGACTGTTTATAGTTCATGCTATGAATGGGGCATATAAAAAAAAAAATGTCCATGTATGAATAAATATCTGATCCAATATTGAAATAAAGTATATATGTTGATTCTCATGTACCTCTGACCTTAATGCCATTAAGCCATCAGACAGTGATCCTCTTAAACAAGATACTGTGGGAGAAACGCCTGTCTATTCATTCAAAGAGACAGATACACAAATAAACAACCTTCTCGGAATGAAAATGCCAGTTCACATTGGGATTTGTATTTGATTAGCAAAGTGCACCTTTAAACGAGACTAAATATTTTTTGCAAACTAAAGGTTTGGACGCCACAATCAGGATAATGTTAAAGAAAGTTCAGAGAGCATTAATAATTGGTGAGGATGCAACAAATAAACTGTACATCATGAATATAGATTAAACTATATTTAATTTAATATTATGTGTATTTTTAAAATGACCCTTAAATTAATGAAAACAGAATTTCTGTTGTGTTTCTGTTTTGACAGTGGCAAGCATATGAAGTCTGAACTTCTTTTTAAAATAAAAAAATCTGATTTCATTAAAGTCTTTGCCTTCAACATGTTACATCATTTGTCAGGCAGATGGTAAGAAGGAAATAATATATGCAGACTGAGAACTTAGATTGTGCATTCTTAAATCTGTGGTGTTACGTTTACCTGATAATTGTAACAAATCTTGAGAAATGAACAGATTCAACATCTGCCTGAGGATTGATCGTGATGGGGAAAAAGTTGTTACCAATCACTCTGAACCAGATTGAGTTTTTAAAAACTGGCCCCTATATAATAAAAGGAAACCTCATAATAAAGATTTACATTTAAATAAAACAATAAGAAACCATTTATTCAATTACAGTCACGTGGATTTGTATAAAACTGACACTTTTGACACTGGACATAGATTTTTCTGTTATTATGTGCTGACAATTTGACATTTATTTTCTTTTACAGACATATTTTAATTTCATTTTCAGTTTTTTATGATGCAGTTTTTGTCTTCACATTGCTTTCAGCTTGTGTAGGTCTTCCTGTAGGTGGCAGCATCTACTGTCTTTTGTTTCACTTGCAACAAGAACTCTGGTTTGCCTTTTCACCACACACAAGGATTGAATTTAAAATTGTAAAAGTAAATAGAGATAACTGTGCAACATATTGGATGCAGGGAAATGGCGTCTTGTGGAAATTAAATAATGGGAGACTACAGCAGAAATATATGTCTTATGAGACAAACATTTTCTTCCCTTTTTTTGTTGCTATCAGTAACACTTGACCTTGCCTTTGTTCATCCTCCTTGTGTTTGAATCAAGAGGTTGCATTACCCCGTCTGTCTTCATATCCATGTAACTGCTGATGACTGTGGAAAAATTCACTTTGCAAGGTGTGTGTGTGTGTGTGTGTGTGTGTGTGTGTGTGTGTGTGTGTGTGTGTGTGTGAAGTATATTTAACACATATTCTCAAATAATCCCTCCATAATAGCATCATGGAGCTTTATTGAGACTGAGAATACCTGAGCGGGCACATCATCCTCAGCCACAATCAATGTGCCATGTAATAAGATATTACAGTCAGGCCTCAGAAATAGAGTCAGTCACATGTATTTTTAGCATCAAGATATCTACTTGCTAGTTGTAGTGATTTTTCCCAGACACAGCAACATCTGAGCAATTTGTGAAATACAAACGCAGGACAAACGAGCAGCAGAAAAAGTTTCTGGTCAGACAGAAGAATAAAATATATATATATATATATATATATATATATATATATATATAATCTGGTCATGAGGAGTAATATTCAGCCTGTGAGAACAGTTCAAAAATGTACAAATACTTAATAATTGTACTTAGGAACAGTACTTGAGTAAATGTACTTTACATTCCACCACTGATGAGGACATGAAGTTGTAGGCATTTACCAGACAGAAGAGGATTCACATAAAATGGTCTTAATTTCCATTATGGGAAGTGTAGGATCGAGTGTGTTTTTGAGCTTGGCCCACACTAAGGACTTGAAATTCAGAATATCCTGGCTTCTGCTGCTTTGATTTTGACCGTTCTATTTTTAATTAGTCTCTTGTGAATCCTTCAACCTTTAAGTGAAGTTTAATTATCTAATTGTATTCACACACAATATAAAAGATTTTTATTCTTACAAAATACAACAGACTTTTATTCTCACACAATATAATAGATTTTTATTCTCACAAAATATAATAGATTTTTATTCTTACAAAATATAATAGACTTTTGTTGATAAACAAAACAACAATTTGAACAAAACCTAATATTTAAGTCATGACTCTGCAAAGGCTCAAACCACATGTTCCACTAAATCACAATCACTAGTTTATATGAACCAAACTACTGTATCCAACCTCCTAATCTCATTGTTTTTATGACTTCACAGTCTACGCAGACTGAGTCACTTCTTCTGTTTTAGCAGTAAAGCCAAAAACAGGATGCTCCACTCCTAAATCATTTTAAGTTTCTCAATATTGTCAAGGACAGCGACTCTATCAGGCAATCAGGGGACACGGCCATGGTGTAGTTGCCATGGATACAAACAGCACACGTACAACACAAACGCTTGGCCAGCTCATATCTTCCCTACTTGTCTATGAGCCAGTGATCCATCGCCATCACCCTGTCAGAAAATAAAACCATACTGCAAATATATCTGAAGCGTCTTTCCCCTAAAGACCCCTCTGGTGACACGTGTGTGTTTCTGTATTCATTAGGGAGCTTTTTTTAGCAGCACGTTATCCATTTTGTGTTGATGTTCAGTGGAAAGGCCTGTGATCTCCAACTTATTCTAGCCAAACCAACCACACACAAACACACCACCCGTCTTTTGTGATGTTTGGCCTTCACCCAGGTTCAGGGTCGGGTTTAAGGTACAACTCTAACAACTTGCCAAACAATATACACCTTTTATGGGTTGTGTTTGTACACCAAATAACATTAACGTTGTCATGTAGTGGCCTTGGTTCACAGAGTGGATTATAAATCACAGCAGAGCAGATGAGATGAGGTTCCCTCTCTCGGGCACTCTGTTGGTGGTCTGTGATGATAATTAAAGAAAACAGAGCTTTGCTGTCATGGGAGAGAGGTCATGATCTGTAATTCTATACTTGGTTGTCAACTCATATACCATAAAGGCTTTGATCTATGGACTAATTTTCAGAAAAGCTTCCTCTGGCCTTGGCATTTGATTTTTGGGCTTATCTCTTAGTTACTCGGTGCACCTACAGTAAATGTTGATCGAGATGCTGACACTCAGAGCTCTATGTGAAGAATGACAGTCACACCCTGACCCCTGACACCTGATCTTGAGAGTGTGGGGTTACCCAGCATTGCCATGACATATTCTGAGTAAGCTACAGACACCCACATGGTCTTCAGGGAACTCGACTGGCTTTACGCGGTGACCCTTAAAGTCAATCTAACATCCACTGTTTGCACAGTGTGTCTATAGAAACACACACAGTCAGCGCTGCATCACGGCTCAGTCAACCCCTATTTATTTCATACACGCCTGTTTAAAATCAGTGTCAGTTACATTTGGCTTGCTGAGTAGATACGAACAACTAACTCCAGTAAACTTAAGAATCAGAGATTTACATTCAGAGCTATTTCAGTCAAGGTTGAGTTAATATAAACAAGTGGTCAGAGAAGCCCATTATTGTAAGAAACTTTTGTTAAAATTGGCCGATTTCTTGCTTTCTTTCCTGCTTTCTTGGTGTCATTTTCTTGATGTGAATGACTAATATACCAAATAATTTTCCAGTGTTGACATGATAGATTTTAGACAGTTGCAGATTTGTTGTGGTATATACCATCAAGCTGACACACCATATAAACTTCATTACATTGCCATCTTCTCAGCTTATAAGGGGTCCCAGAATTCTACCATTTGTTTTGAAGGATTTGATCAATCATGTTTTCACTTTTACCTTTTAGCAGCGGAGGCTGATAGGAATTGTATTTGGTCATAAGCCAAAGAATTGGGCAAATTGACATTTTGACTTGGCGCTAGAGGAAAAGTTAAGGGATCACCAAAATTATTACACATCATCCCGAGGGTGAAAAGAATGTGTGTACCAAATTTCAGGAATCCATCATAGACATTTTGATATATTTCACTCAACACCACAAATGTCAACCTCATGGTGGCAATAGAGGTAAAGTCAGGCGATCATTGAAGTCAGTAGGATTTATCCTCTAGGTACAATGAATGTTCATACAAAATCTGGTAATCCATCTAATAGTTGTGTGTGAGATATTTCAGTAAGGACCAAAAGTGGTGGACCAACCGAGTGGCTAAGTGACTGACATTGCAATTAACAGAGCCATGCTGGTAGCGAGGCTAGGAATAAACGTTTGCCAACAATGCAATGATATTACAAAGAAACTGAAAAAGGAACGTCATATCAAAAACTGGACATCGATTCGGACACAGTGGCTTACTATAAGGGCTGCCTTGTATGTTTTTGGTGAAATATAATACGGTAAA